ACTTCAGATCCAAGGCGCAATCATGAATGGAATGTGGTGTACTGAGTCTCGTGCACACGGCTCTTCTCGCCATCAACCGTGCCGTTTTCATCGTTTTCTTTCAAAGTTATCGTCGAATTTTCGAAGAACCCGTTTTCTATGTGAGTTTTTAAATGAATCATCTACAGGGTGCGCCAAAAATTCCCGTACTTGTATTTTCTGCATTTTTGGTAATTTTAGATAAAAGGATCCGATTTTAAAAGTAAGAAATTCGAATTCCTCACAAAAAACTGATTTATTGGGTTGATGCATAATTATCCGGACTTCTTTTATAAATGATTTTATTTAACAAAAATAACATAAATAGTTAGAAAAATATGTTTAATTGATTATTCTGGAGCATATTCACCGCCTACATCAATAACTGATTGCCATTTGCTTGGAAAGACGATCGATTCCACGAGCGAAGAATAAACGATCTTTGGAGGCAATCCACGCTTTAACATCGTCTATCAAGTCATCCAAATCGTTGTAGATCTTATTTGTTTGCCAATTTTTGAGCGATCGATTGACGTGGTAGTCCGTTGGGGCTTCTCCAGTTCTTTGAGATCGCGAAACGACTCTGCGGCAGACCATCCCTTTTCGAAGTGGTAGAGCATGATATGGCGAAGATGGATATGATTGTCGACACGCATTTTGTTCACTAAAGAATAACGAATATTTAAAAAAAGAAATAGACAAAAAGCTTTCAAAACAAAAAGATATTAAGCACGCAAAAAGAAGTCCGGATAATTATGCATCAACCCAATAGAAAGCGTTTCTGGTTAATTTATAAGTGCAACGCTATTTAAGACAATTGATTGAGAAGCTTGGGCCCGCTCAGGGGCTTTTGGTCAGCACAGATTACAGGGCAGCAGTTACAGGGCACAGTTACAGGGCACAGCTACAGGGCACAGTTACAGTTATTTCCTTTGATGGAAATTTGTATGGGAAAACCAAGTTCTAACCTGACTTCTGACTCGGTCGTTGACCAAAAACTTTATACACCCAATATAAAAATGTCACAAAAATGTCCATAAAAGTTACAGGCCTGAAGCTCCAAAAAAATGTGGGACCAAAGCGCCTGTACCAGAGCGCCTGTGCCCTGTAACTGTGCCCTGTAACTGTGCCCCTGTAACTGTGCCCTGTAACTGTGCCCCCGTAACTGTGCCCTGTAACCGGCCCTGTAACTGTGCCTGTAACTGTGCCCTGTAACTGTGCCCTGTAACTGTGCCCCTGTAACTAGTGCCCTGTAACTGTGCCCTGTAACTGTGCCCTGTAACTGTGCTACCAAAGCACCCCTGAGCCGTCCCTCTTCTCAATCCACTTGTCTTAAATAGTGTTGCACTTATAAAAATCAACCAGAAACGTTTTCCCTAAATCAGTTTTTCGTGAGGGGAATTCGAATTTCTTACTTTTAAAATCGTATCTTTTATCTCAAATTACCAAAAATGCAGAAAAATACAAGTACGGGAACTTTTGGCGCACCCTGTATTCTTTCCTAAGGCTATTTCTTTCCTAAGGCTATTCTTTCTAAATCTATTCACTTTCAGATATGCATGACAATTTGTTGGTCATTTTTCCTTATCGTCACCATTGTTGATTTGACTGATTTCAGTCTCATGGTTTACGTCTTACCCACTTACACTTTTCAGTATTTGGTGAGTGGAGTAAAGTGCTTTAAAGCCTCGATCGGATACAGTAATCCTAGTCTAGACAGTCGATCTTACAGTAAACCAAGAGTTGCCTTTGGCTCCCTATCAAAATAACCACAAATTTAACGCAAAAGTTACGCAATTTAACGCAATTTAACACAGTTTAACGCGTTGGTGCCCAAGTCTTTGCAATTTTTGCGAAACATTATTTAAAAACAATGCCGCCAGCAATAAAATTTCTTTTAAACTATTAAAAAGCTTGATTGTTTCTCTGCAAAATGGCTTTTTGGAAATTCTCGAAAGTCGTTGTTTTTTGAAGATTTTCAAATGCACAAAGGCAAGCACCCAAAACCTCTCCCAATGCTGAAGCCTTAATTTCAACACTTTCTTCAATACAAACCTATTTTGGTGAAAAAGTAAAAAGATAGAGCTTATTTCATTACATAAGTCTGTAAAATCCTGAAAACGATTCGTCTAGCAATTTTCTTTAAAACAGCAATTGAAAATCTTAGTTAAAAAATTTTAGAAAAATTTTACCGAGTTGAGACGAGCTTTCGGCTTTCTCCTAAAAAAGCCGTTTTGTAGAGAAATGATAGACCAAAAGCTATCAAAGATCTTTTAAATATTAGGTTGATGCAAAAGTCTTTTCATTTTTTTCGTACTTCTGTTAAAAAGTAACAAATTCACGAATTAATCTATAGTTTGCTCTATAAAAAAAGTGTTTTTTGTTCAATTGCATCTTTTTTAAATGAATTTCGGTTCACTTTCAAAAAAATACCGACTGGGGCTACCAGTGGTGAATTTATCGCATACACGAAATATATCAATCACAATACAACGACACACACAATACTAGGCTATATCTTAACTTAACCCACGTCATGACAGACGGCTCCTTAACCCTAAGCTCAATGGGGAACTAAATAGCTTTTTTGGTGGTGAAGGGAAGATGACGATGAAGGAGTGGCTTGTCACTTTAAAGAACTGGGGCCACAACCACCAGACTGCCCTCCAGAAAAACCTCTCAACCCGAAGGGGGAAAGGAAATCCGAAGGGGTGACCATGTCGCATGTGGGGTTCGAACCCTCGACCTTCCGATTAAGATAAAAAAGACACTTAACCAGTCAGCCACACGTGCTCTTTCAAGCAAATTCGAGAGTGAAAACGCCTTTTTCGTAAAATCTATAAAAAACTCTACGGAAAAAATTAACTGAATGAATTTCTCTGAAATTTTGGCGAAATATTAAACGTTTTTTTCTCTATCTTTTATCTATTGACACGAAGATAGGTTTTCTTTAGCTAAGGTGTCTAAACCGCATCATCGAGTTAGCCCTTTTTGACTACCCGACTTCATACTCCTCAGGAAAATCCAGGCATTCAATATTTTAAACCCGTTTAATGTTATTTTGCAGAAAAATAATTGCTTTTTTCTAATGAAATCAACCGTAGTTTAATTCGTGCATTTGTTGGCTTGAAACGGCAGACGAAAAGGAACGAAAAGACTTATGCATCAACCTAATAGTTTCTGGTTGCAACAGATTTGGTAAAGGTTTCTTTTGGAACCTTTACTTTGGAAATTTACTTTGAACATTTGGTAAAGGAAACAAAAAAAATTTGCAAAGACTTATGCATCAACTTGTGCAACGTGAGGATTGAGTGAAAGTGATAGGAAGAAAGTGAAACATCGTGAAAGGTAGAGCGCGTTCCTCGCGAGTAAGTAATTACTCAGAGTAAAATCTGCATGAGTACTTTTTACTCGATTAATCGACGTTTTTCATCGAGCAACTACGAGTAATCCTCTTTACACATCGAGTAAATTGAATATCTTTACATCCATTTCTGAACAAATCTTAATCCAATCAACGCATTGTGCAACAGAAAGACGAAAAATAGTCTTAGAACTTTTGTTGCCAACGAAATTTAGCTTACAAAGCTAAACAAGTTCCAAATTTCGATCTGGATTTTAGCTGAAATTTGAAATTTGGAGCTTCTTTCGTAAAGTGTGTGGGAACTTTTCGATCATCCCCTCTACAATTTTCGTTTCTCATATCATCACATAGCATCATCGTTTAACCTTGTTCAGGCCGAATACCCGTGGGGAGGCACAGTGCGCGAGTTCAGCAATCAGCTCATCCTGTACTCTGTTCTTCTCGCCGCCATCTCATACATCGTCATTTTCGTCTCACGCTTTTCACGCATACAGCGCCTTCGAAACGGGAACTTTTGCTCACGATACAGGTTCGAAATTCGAAATATTGCAATCACTTGAAGAAAATTTGCCCACCTTTCACTAGGGGCATGCTCTCTAAAGCGTGACTCGACTACCGTAACCCGGCATTCATTTAGTAAAAGGTTACAGTAACCCAAGTCACGATTTAGAGCGCTAATACCATGGCTTCTGCTTCAAGTTTCAAGCCAACGAAAAGAGTGTAAAAGTCGCCTCAAAAGCCCACACTTTCCCCATTTCTTCAGGTTTTCTTCATTTGCTCATATAGCGTTTTCGGCTACTGTATCTGGACGTATTGCCCGGTTGTGGACAGTCCAACCGCGTACTTTGCGTGCAATTTCCCCATTTGGGTTCTTTGGAATGGCATCAATCCATACATTATGGTTTTATTCAATCGGTGAGTGAGCGCAAAAGTTCGAATAAATTCATAAATTCGAAATTTCAGAAAGATTCGTGAGGTGTTGACGAGCCATCGCTTCATTCAAATCATCACCGGGTGAGCGGTTGTTTCTTTGTTTGAGCTCAAAATCTTAACCGTCTAAGTTCTTGTCCAGTTCAAACATTTCGATGTCTAGTTCTAACTCATCCGCTATGTTTCCACGGTGATTGAATTGTGATGTCGACGTCCTTTGTCCATGGAATTGACAGATCGCAAAAGTATCGGTAGATAAAAAGGCCAAATAGAATCAATTTCTAACAAGATGTTCACTAACTCCTCGACATAGTTTAGTCTGGAAAGCGGCAAAACTCGCAATCCAATTGCTGAAAGAGAATTCTATCCGACAAGCCTTACTAACAATACACTTTAGTGACGCGAAATCACTCGCTTCAAACGTAAGCGATACCGCGTGCACGAGCGTCAAGCTTTAATCAAGTGACGGTGATCTCGAATCTCGCAAAGAACCCCGCTATCCGACCGGCTTCTACCCGCCAAGGTGAATCAATAAAGATTTTCGAATTTTTTCTCACCCCAAAACTTTTCACAAAAACATTTTATCGGTAAAGTTCTATACAAAACAAACAACTATTGGTAAAAGATAACAAACAAAGCACAATCGAATAAGGGTTTAACAAACAATCATTCCTTTCGGCTATTCTTATCCTTTTGTTTCAACGGTTGCTGCAGTTGGCTGTGGTTTGTGCTGATCGTTGTTGTGCTCGAAGACGATAGATTCTCCCTAAATAAAAACAATGAAAAATTAATTTAGAATGGTTAACTTTTTTGCTTGCAATTGGCCCCAAATTGTTTACCAATGCCAACACTCAGTAAACAAAAGATTGCAATGTGTTATAGACAAACTATTCATTTGGGTCTCGACTTAAAGCTCCATTTCTTATTTTTTATGAAAATATTATACCTGAATTGTTATCCGAGGCTTAACAATCGATGACGCCCTTTTGCTAGCATCTTTGTGCACTTCGTATTTGATAATTTCCTCGTCAGGCACATTCATCTTAGCTTTGAAAATTTTGCCAATTTGACTGTTCACCGAATCCTGAGAAGCATCATGTGTCCATAGTGATATCTGAAAACAAAAGAGATGCGCTTAAATAATAAATATCCAACCTTGTCACCCTTGTTGCGTACATTCAAAACCGCCCCACAGATGTGGTCTCCATAGTCGCCAAATTGCTCGCCAACAATCGCCATCAGAAGCTCGAGCCAGTAATCGTCGAGGAATTGTTTCCTGAAAAAACTCCATTAACGAATATATGAATATTTTGAATCTGAAGCCATATAGCATCTTTTCAGCGAGTTTTCACCCGCCTTTACACAAACACAAAAACCCAGAGTTCATAAAACTTGATTGAACTAAACTAGTAAAACGTAGGAGCCCAATATACCTTTTATGCTTATCGACAACCTATTAACCATCGACCTCCATCAACGTTTTGCTTATCCTCCCACATTGGACGAATACCCTGAATATAACTTTAACCAAAGCAAACCGAAAGTATAGTACCTCTTTAAAAAGATAGTAGTCAGAGCCCCAATTGAGTGATGATGGCGCGGCAATGTTGTAGAACAGCGACCAAAAATCTTCAACTGAGTCGAACGCGATCACTTGCTGCAGACAATCTTCCCAATCGCGATTTCTGTCTGCCTAAATTCAACAAAAAGTTGTAAATACATTATATGCGACATAATATATGCAAAATATATAAAGAGACGTTGCACACACAAAACTAATCCTACGACATAAAGTGTGTGGTTTATAAAACTAGCATTAACTTCATTTGTTTAACTAAACTGAACTGTTTAACTGAACCGTTCACTACGTGCTAAGGAGCTTCGTGAGACTAGTCACTCTGACAATAATTTCCTAGTTTAACATTAATCATTTAATCTTTGATCGTTATAATTTCATAATCTTTCGAGAATTTCTGAATTCTACTTGAAAAGTTATTCTTGCGTATTCATGGTATCCATGCATGCGTAAAAATAATAAATTGAGCTTTAAGTCGAAACCCAAATTAATAGTTTTTCTGTAACATATAGTAATCTTCTGTTTACAGAGTGTTGGCATTCTTGACAAGAAATTACGCTTATTACTTTGCGCTTGACAACCACCACAACAGCCCTCCAGCGCTCCATTTTCCACAAACAGCACACAAACTAACCTTCAGGAAACCATAGTACCCAGCGACGTTGCAATTGATGACGAACAGGCAGCAGGGGCGGAGCGATGCCGGTCGTTGAATGGTTGCCGTCTTCCGTCAGTTTCCTCTCGTTTTCTCGATTGCCATCACCTCCGATGACACTTCGCTGGACATCAGGTCTAAAATAAAAATTAAAGTGTGTCTGAGTCAAAAACAAGAAACGAGAAAAACAAAGACGACGTAATATATGCCCTGTGATCGTGAACCTCAATCGCTAAAATCAAAGATTTTGTCTTACAAATGATACGAGTTACAAGCCTGAAAACAAATGAAATGAAAAGAAATTCGCCAAGGCCTAACCATTTTCCCTTAACGGGTAATGAATCTTCAGCCGCTCAACTGACTATCTTTTCTTTTCAAATAGATATTAGCAATAATCTCCTCGACAACCTTCATAGATTTGTATCAGAAAAAAGCGCCAAACCTGCATCAATTTTAAACTTTTCACCGAATATGAATTCCTCCAATTCTACATTCTTCGCAAAAAGGACTTCAGGTATCTTCGGCAGCACTCCTTCCTATACATTTCGAGTGTCCCCCTTTTGCCCCCCTAAGTGTCCCCCTCAAAGTGTCCCCTTTTTGTCCCCCTAAAGTGTCCCCTAAGGACACTTTAGGGGGACAAAAAGGGGACACTCGAAATGTATACTCCTTCCTCGAATTTCTCAGCATTTACATTTAATTTCCTTACAACGATTTATTTGCAAGAAAAGTTAATGCAAAATTTTGCACAAAAACAAAAAGTGGCAACATGGATTAAACATACTTATAAACATTGTTCATGGCGGTAAATTGTTTTGTTGCCGATGATGTTGACAATCGTAGGCGGGCAGAAGTTTTTCATTACTTTCCTAAAAAGAGCGTTGAAGACTACTACTGAAGACTAAGAATACTAGAAGAATTATTAAATCATTCATGCTAATCATTATGATTTTGCAACGATTATAAAACCTGATCTTGTTTTGAATTTTAAATCTAATGTATACAACAATAAAACTCACTGGCAACCAGTGCACGTATTGTAAAAAACGTCCCCAAACTTTGCTAATGTATAGTTCATCTTAGCCATGTCGTTTGGATTCGTCGAGAAGGATGAATCGGACTAAAAAGTGATTTGATTAGAGTTTACTTCTTTGAAAAAACTCTTGCATCGATACCGGCTTTTAAAATCCCAATCCGATAATAGTAGCTATATTCTATTTGCAATTGCAGTAGGATAAAATTTTTGAATCAAAAAGCTTGACCTTTTTCACTCATAAGTAGACATGTGATAATGTTTTTTGTAAAAGCCAAATGTTTAAGTAGCAGATAACTTTAAAAACTAACCAATTTGTTAAGCAGCTCATTTGCACGAATCGTAAGTGATTTGTAGACGTGGTAGCGACTCTCATAAGTGATATTTAACTTAGTGAAGATCAGATTCAAATTACGACGTAACAAGTATTCCCTGTTTCCCCAGCAGTCGTCATCGATTGGCCAATTCTCGTGTCCGCCAATGAAATTTACGTAGTGAAGCTCTCCATCAATCACTTCAGCATCAAAATGCGCAGTCGAGGGATGAACGATCCACGAAAGAAAGTGCCATATCGCAACTAAACAATATAATGTCTGAGTGAAGCATTAGTTCATAATAGTTTGGATGTACCATTAAAACGCACTTCTGCAACAGATGTTGATGGTTGAAAATTTTTCGCCAAATAGCTTATCTGCAAATGGCGCCTCGCTTCAAAAAAATTCGATTGAACCTGAAAATCTAAAGATTGAACAATATGTAAAGCGCTTCTTAATATAACTCCTGTATTGTAGAAAAGTAGAGCTTTTAACATATTAATCTGAATACAGTTTTGGGCTGGTCCATTATTACTACTTAAAAGAGACAAACATTAATGTCTAAAGGCTTAAAGGTTCTGTATATCTGATAAAAACTTCTTTTAGCAACATCCTTATTCTTATACCTATTGCTTTACTGAAGTTTGTCATCTAGACGTTTAGTTGTAGCTATTATAGGTAGCTATTCCACCGAAATTATAAATACTCAGCCAAGTTGGAAATCTTCCGGAATCGCTCATGTGCTGCCGATATCTACCCACTCTTGGCCCTAATGGTTGCTTGATGCTTATCGGAGCCTTCTTTCTGTGACTATTCCCGCTTCGTGCATCTCATTCAACGAAAAGGAGTAAAACATCTAAAATATCTCAGCTGGAAGCCATAGGCATAACAAAAACCAACCAGATTTCTATCATGCCACATTAGTTGCTCCCAAAGAATTGATTGATTTGCGACTTGTACTCAGGCTCCTAAAGATAAAATTGAATACATGGATGATGAATTCTTTTCCTCACGCACAAAAGAATTAATCCGCCTTAAGACATGTTGCAAAAAGAAGATACCTTTGCTGGTTATCCTTAGGAAGACACCTTGTCAATTCGAGATTACTCTTCGATCTTGATTTAAAGTTTAGATCGATTAAGCAATTTTCAATTAAAAAAGTCAAACTACCTAGGTACTTGTGCAATCCTTACGCTACTAATTTCATATTTAAAATAGCCAACAAGACGTAAGTGGGATAGTGCCAAAAGATTTTTCAACATAATCAATAACAAATTCCCCAAACTTACATTCTCCGCAAGTTGCAACATTGGTAAAGAAGCTGTTGACGGAAGACATCCGCCGGGGAAGATGTGTCGGCAAATCACTCAATGTCGCTTGCAATTGGTCGGAATTCTTTCGTCAACTTCTTTGATGAGTCCTTTCGATCAACCGTCGCATTTCTAGTGTCTTCAGTATCCTGCAGTCTTCCATCATTTTCGCTCGAAACTTTTGCACATGTCGAGCGACTAAAAAACAATAATAGATAAACGCAATCTTGTTTTAAACTCAATCTCTAGAACAAATTTTATGCTACCTAAATGTTTGTTAAGCTCTACATGAATTTTTACGTTAATTAGCAAATTGCAACCTATTCAGCATAGGTTTACTTCCCGGACTGATGCTTTATCATTCAACCAATTCCAAAGCAAATCAATTATTTGCTACGAAAAAGCAAAGCAAAAAAACCTTACCACTCCTGGAAGACACGATCTGGTTTTTGAATCGTCGGCGATTTGCGACATCACACAACTAAAACAAAAAATTTGTCCAAGATCACCAGAAAGCTAGAAGGTAAAACGAAAATGGAAAGAAAAAAAATAAGATTGGTTGCCTGTTCAATATCGGACGGGTAAATGTTAAATTGCACAAAATATTCAGCTGAGCAACTAAAGATTCTCAAAACACGGCACTTAGCGGTGTATTAGGTTACTAATACACTACTAATAGGTTCACTTAGGCCATTTACCTTGGGATTACTTTGGGTGGACTTTTCAAGGGGGCACCGGGGTGGGGTCGTTTCAAATGTATAGTCCGACTCCTTTAACGCTTTAAAAAAAAAGATTTCAGTCATTGCATCAAATTGTATTTAAGTAGAGTCTATTAAGTCATTTTACACCAGCACTTCTACTCCAACCGCTCCACCAACAGTGCCACTAAGTTCGAAGTTTCAAAGTTTCGAAGAAAACAAAGTTTTGCCCGTAGTGGATCCGAACTCGCGGCCAAAAAGCAAAAAGAAGAATGGGTAAGTGTGCTTACCACTGCACTATTTGGGCACATTTCGAGACATCGGAAACGTTAGAACTCAACTTTCGATCGATAAAGTCACCTGCCATTTGACGCACGTGTGTCACGATTGTGCGGTAGAAATGTGTGTGCTGTGAAATGAGTGGGCCGCGAAAATGAGTATTATCCGCACAAAATTATATTACAGAAGTAAATGCAATGATTCTCGGGCTAAATTCCGTACATCCACCATTTTAGAATTGGAATCTACCGCATTTTTGCGGTAGATTGAAGAGCCCCTTTTTCGAAGAGCCCCTTTCGACGAAATTTTTCAACTCTCGATTAGCGAAATGCTCAACTTTTAAAAGAGTTTTTAAAAGGCTTTTTAAAAGACTTTGAAAAGCTTTAAATAATAGTTATAGTCTTTTAAAAAGTCTAAACAAGCTTAATGACGTCGAAAAGCGGATGAGAATCCAAAAAAAAAACATCGATTTTTGAGCTCTTGAAAATTTGGGTATCTGTAGCTAGAGAAATAAAAAGAATTTTAGAGACACATTGAAAAATCGAAGAGTCAGCCGGCTCTTCTATTCGAATGTTTACGGGATTTGGGTAAATTCGATTGAAACGATCAATCGATCAATCTGCTTTGTTAAAAGCAGCAAAATCTTTTTGTTTTCATTGTGTTTTCGTCTTTTTTGTTGTTATCAATTTATTTATTCCAAATACTTCCAAATATTTATTCCAATTTTGTTAATGAGAATTAAATGAGATCATAAAGTTTGAAAATAATCAAAAATAACCCGTAAAATTATGAAAGCACCAATTGCTCACTTACAAGTCTCATGCGCGAAATCGAATTGCGTCTGCTTTGCAGCAAGGACGACGTAGGGAGGCATGAAATCTTTCATGTGCTTTCTGAAAATGAGAATTATAGATGGTTTTTTGTTGTTCTTTGTTGTTTTTTGTTGCTTTCTTGTTTTCTTGTTGTTTCTTTCTTGTTTTGCATGTATCCAAGGAAATAAAAACGCCTAAAACAGCGCCAGGCAAAAAAAAAAACAAAATTATTTTCTAGACATTTTTGCTTTTGCTTTTGCTTTTTCTTTTGCTTTTGCTTTTTCTTTTGCTTTTGCTTTTTCTTTTTCTTAGCTTAGCTTAGCTTAGCTTGGCTTGGCTTGGCTTGGCTTGGCTTAGCTTAACTTGGCTTGGCTTGGCTTAGCTTAACTTGGCTTAGGCTTAGCTTAGCTTAACTTGGCTTGACTTAGCTTAACTGTTTGTGATAACTTAAAGCAAGAGAGCTAATGGAAATCGTTGATTGGCGTTGGTGAATGCTCTGCTCTGAATTTAAAACCGGTGTTCAAAGGCAAGCTGCTATAAAAAGTTCTTTATTCTAAAAATTCAAAAGTTCTTTATTCTTTGCTGTTTTTCACTTTTTCTGTCGAATCTTTGTGTTTTTAGGGTAAAAAGAGGCGGAGAATTCGATTTTTTAAAAAGTTTTACCCATAGAAACTCACGGTAACGATTTATTAAAAGTGATTTTAAACCAAAAAAAAAAATCCCAAACCTAATTTCACTTTAAGGTGTACTTTGTTTTCTTTTTGTACTTTGAAATTTTCCACAAACACCCCTTCCTGGCGCACTGGACTGGACTCAATACTGAGCTACGAATTGAGTGTGTGCATCAGAAAGAGGGGGTTTCGGGATTTTTTTTTTCCGTATAAAGTACATTTCGAACTTGTCCCCGTACTCACCTGCAATATTTGCATTGTGCCCGAAAAACTTCTTGATATTTGCCCAATTGCATGAAGAGGTTCTTCATCGCATTTGACGTCAAATATGGATGAATTGTCTGGAAAATGTTGATAGATTTCGATTTTTTTTTTTTCATGACTTACATGAGTGAGCTGAACGTTTCCCTGAATCGTGAGCTTTCGGAAAATTAAATATTGGCTTTCCTTGGTTAGATCGACCTGAAAAACGGTTTAAATTGAAGAAAACGGGTTTCATTTAATTGATTGTGCTTAAATCTTGTAAAAAACCTGGTTTCTAGTGCACACAACTCGTGCACCAGGAAATGTGCGTTTAAAAAATTTTAGCCCAAAGTACACAGAGAGTCAAAAAGAGTTTCTTTTGCCAGCTTACCCTTTTTTCTCCCATTTCCTCGTTGTACGCCCATTCCTCGTGTGGAGCGATGAATTGAAGGCTCTCGAAATACCCGAATTCCTCCACCAATAACATCTTTTGTGAGCAGATGAACGTGTTCTTCTGTGTCGGGCAAAAGAAGCCAAATTTGAGCTGAAAAAAGTTCGAATTTGATTCAAGCATTAATTTTAGTGAAAACATTGAAAATTTGGGTATAAAAGTTTTTTCGAAAAGTTCAAGATCACCAATTTTCGTGCTATCATATCCCCAACTTTTCAAAATGCAAATTGAGCTTTATGAAACAATTTGCATTTATCTTTTTAAGTTATCCAATCACATTCACAGCTGTTACCTCAATAATCGATGACATACTGTTTTGTTCCAAATATGTGGGCACGATTCCCGATCGAGGCTTCATGTTTTTCAAATCGAGTTGAAGCTGAAATTCAGGAGTTAGTTTTGCTCAACCACACTACTTTACTTAAAGGGGAGGGGGGTATTAATCGCGGCCGGGTGACAATAAAATTTTTTTACGGCAACCACCTGTTTTTTTATTTTAATATCGCTGATTTTATTATAAAAAGAATAAAAATCACCCGGCTAGAGTGATTTGATGGGTTTACAAATTTTTGGAGACACTGCAAGGCTTGGAGAAAAACAAGATCGTCACTCATTGATATAAAAAGCATCAAATAAAACAAAATGATAGCTATCGGCGAAAAAAATTTTTCACTTGGAATCGGCCTCGATTCTTACGCTTCCTTTAATGAAAAACAAAAACAGGGAAAAGGCAAGAAATTCAAAAGATCTCAAAACTGACTTTTTTGGCTAAAAGACCACGAAACTTTCAAGAAACCAAGTTTCAGAGAAAGAGCCTGTTTCTTACAGAATACACTCACATTCTTATTGTAATTTTTACAATAATCATAAAGTAATGAAGATCTACTTTTGCACAAATCGTCTTTTGCTTACAGCTTGCAACTTTCCCAAATCCATAACCAAACACAATCAAACCTGTGCAAAAGCTGCCTCGAAAAGCTTATGCGGATGTTTGTTCGCATCCTCGGCTCCCCAATTCGAATACGGCAAATGTTTCGGGATCATCGCCGTCGTTTTTCGACTGTACGGTCGATAGCGGTGAAACTCGGTGAGATACACGTAACGAGTCTGAAAAAATGTTGTTGATAAATAATTGAAATTGAATTTAGATTTAATATCGTCGAGCATCGAACTTACAAATATGCATTCGGTCCAATTGGTTGTGTCGATGAAACTCTCGACAAGCTCGTGGGTGTTCAGATCGTTTTGCTCTTCCTGAAATGGAGTTCGAAAACAAAGGTTCTTGCAATTCTTCTCCATATGAATTTGCATTTTTAAATTACAAACTCTGAACTTTTTCCACTTCAGTTTCAATTAGAACCCAAGCAGCTTCAGCCTTATTTTTTGGGAGTTATCTTCTCCCCTCCACAAACCTGATAAATGCTCTTCAGCAGATCCATCTTCTCCATCGCTCCCGCGACATTCGGTGGCAATTGTTTAGCATAATTTTCGATTTGCTCGTAGAAGCGAGTGACTTCTTGCATTCTCTCGAGAGCGCTCGGATCGGGTTGACCGGATTCGGTCTCGAAGATCGCCTCATCCGCCCGTAAAGCATAGTGACGAAGTTTTCGAATGAAATAGATGCCTGTAAAATGGGGATTCATGAAATTTTCCTTAAGTTGCGCATAAACTAGGAAAAACTTATTTTAAATTTGACGCAAAAAAATTCAACGTACAATCGCCTACGTTCGGCTTCTTCACCGTACCATCTTTGTAGTTTTGCTGGGACATGTTTGGATGAAGTGAAAGGTGAAAAATTGATCAGAATTAGTTGCGCTAAATATATAAATTCATGAATTCGTCAAAGAATAAGCGGTAAGGACACTTTGTTTCATTGAATAAACGTCAATGAGAGTATCGTTGCGTTCATTTCTGCCATGGTTGACCAAGAAACATTTTTTACAGCGCCGTCAACAGCCGAAAAATACAAAGCACTGCTTTTTCTTAAAAACGCTCAAAATAGCGCTTAAGTCCGGAGTCCCTGCTGACGGAATTCAACCAAATTGCACGATTTTCTCCAAGTATGAATCCGAATTACGCTTGAACAAAAAATTGTATTTTTCCATCACAACGTAATCTAATATTTATTTACACAATGCTATTAACATTACCAAACTTTACTAAAAGAAACCGTACATAATAATCAACTAGAAATTAGACAAAAATTAACTTTAATAATTCTTCTGAATCGTTTTCTCGTCAGGCAGTTTCGTTTGAATCGATGAGATTTGCTCATCCCAGTCCTAAAAGAAACGAATTGAGAAGATATCGATAAAGATGTCTAAAGTTCTTTTAATAAAATTATGATTTTCATCTCGGTTGCTTAAGCTAAAATATGGTTGGAGAACACGACGCTCAGAATGCATAAAATTGTCTAATTAATCTGACACACCCTTTCATAAATTTTACGTTCTGTCAGACCGTACTTACAGATTAATTACGATCGTGTAATTTTTAGCACACTTAGCCTAAATACTAATTAAGATAAGGTTAACTACTAGCCTTTCTAAAGTAATTTTAAACGCTGAGCAATAAAAGTCTTTCAAACCTTCTCAATCTTGGACCAATGCTGAAGCAATTCTTTCTTGCGTTGCTCACGGCGATTGAAGTAGTACGGGAATTGTTCTTTCTCTGGTAGTGTCCATTGCGTACCGTCCAAGATGTTGTCCTCTATTCCCGTTCACGATCGTAGGAAGAACCTAAAGCAAAGAAATATTCAAGGCAATTTAAATCACATGTTTTTCTAGCTTAACCAACATTACTTTACGATTTTTAACATTAAATCAACAAAACTGGTACTACGAGCACCATTGGCACTCTATTCGTGCACTTTCACGTCCAAAGCAATACAGGTATTTTATCTCTCAGGTTGTTGACAAAAAGGTAATCTTTCAAATTAAAAAACCTCGGGATCCATTGCAAATCAGGAAGGGCTTAAAGTGGCGCTTTTCCCAAAGTTGTCGACATCCATCAGCCAATAGCAGTTGAGACTTCCTCGTATCCTAAATGAAAAAATTAATTAAACAACGGTAGGTTCTTTAGCAAAGTTTCTGTTTTCAATCAAATTGATTTATAAACGTTCATTATGCTCTTTAAATTCGAAAGATATTGCAAGAATTTTAGGATTCACTTTCTTCAACAAACAAGTTCTTCCATCAAATATTTAAGTAGAAGGATATCGTGTGCCTGACTTCAAAATCAAAATGGGAACTTTTAAGTTTCCTAATTAAGGTATGTTTCAGTCAACGCGCAACTTGAGAATTCTAAAGTGCATTTGCGATTGTTCTGCAACAATAACATGAGGCTTGTGATACTAAAATATTTTTCCATCATAATTTGAATAAACGATGATATTTGAATGAACTTCAAATTGCCCTAAGGACTAATTTGCTATATTTCCTTTAATACAGTGGGATGTTTTTTTTATTTGCTGCTCGCAAATATTCTACCCAAATAAAATGCCATTCCATTAGAGGAAATGCAATATTTTCACCAAACGCACTTGTTCTTCCTTGTTTGCATCGAATCGAGCCCCTCATGATGACCTTCTGAAAGCGCACCTCAAGCAAGCTGCCTCCGTACCAGTTGTCGATCTCACGAAGCGAGCGCTTGTAGAGCCGGCACACCCTAAAAGTTGAAAAATTAGTACACAACTAATTAATAAATTAATCTCGACCCTTTTATTCTACGAAATAAACTATTTAAATCGTCGGCTCCGAGTAATGCATTGTCCAAAAACAGTATCTTGCTTCTGTGAGGCTTCCGTGTCTTTTAAAAGCTTTTTAAAAACCTCATGTCCGTCATCATTGCTTGCCAAGCTAAATATTTCTTACCTTCTGTCGATGTGAAAGCGCCTTTGTAAACATCCATGCCGGCGATTCAGCCATCTTGGCGGACTACCCGTCAAGCGCAAATGCACCCTAAATTTATGTAATAAAAATTGAAAGACCCGGGCAAATTAATGGAAAAAACACATAAATCAACAAGAGAAACAAAGTCTAAAAATTTCTACAAAACAAACTTTTCAACATCAACGAACAACTATAATTCTATGCCCTATACGACCAAAACAATCAATAAATCATAACATTGAAGTGAACCTCAATACAAACTTAATAAATTAAAGTTGAACATTAAGATTTTTAAAAAAAATCTAATTAAACAACTTTAGATGTTGAATGAAAAATTTACTAACATCGTCCAACAAAGAAAGCATTATCCTATCAAGGTTCACTTCTCTCAAAATGTAAAAGCCTCTAGTATCTTGGCGGTGCAATCGGGTAACTCTTTGGAATCGATCTCCACTCCTTTTCTGTTCGCTTAAAGACGATTTGTCGTGTGAAATGTCCCATCTTTTGCTTTTCCCTCAATTCTTTCACTGCTTGTCGTTCTGCGGGCGGTTTCAGAGTTCCTCAAGATTACATTCGATCGGTTCTTTTTCCTCATTCGTCACAATTCCGACGTGCACTGTGTCCAAGTCTTGCCTCAAAATGCTGTCCACCGATTCGCGCATTTCTCGTGACATGTGTGTCCAGAAAAGGAACATGTTTGATGTGTAGACTTTCTCATTCGTTTGTTTGGCTATCCGGCGGTAGGCGAGATCACGATGTCCAAGTGATTCGGCCTTTTCAATGACAGCTCCTTGATTGAGTAGAGTATTGCCAGCCCGTACGAGTGCCTTCACGAGATCGGCCTTTGATAACGAAGCGAGTGATGAGCGTCAACTCGTAGAAGGGCATCGTTTCGATACCTAAAAGGAAAGATTAATCATGGTTTGAGAAATAGGAACAGAGATAAAAAGGGCAAAAAACAAGCTATCTCTCGACTTTAAAGGATTCAATGCGTTAAATGCATTTGTTTAAAGATGGATTTGTTACTGCTATACAATACAACGTTTGCTAAATCATCATCAAAGGATCCGATTCGTAAAAAAACATTTTTTCAAACGTTCTGCTGAAAAACGTTTTAAATCATCGACAAAATCGTCATGCTAGGCTCGATTACCGGTGCAAAGCATTAGAACAAAAGAAATTTTATCTGGGACAAGGTTTTCAACAAAATAAACAGTATAATTCCAAAGTTACATCGTTTTTCCAACGTAAAGAACAAGGATTTTCGTTTGTGCTATACAGGAAAATGCGATTCGCCTTCGCTATTCGAGCGTTCTTTGATAAACCTCGTGCGGGAGCTTAGAACTTATATGAAAGCAGACACTTAACCAACTCAATCTCGTGAGAAAAATGACAAAATGGCAAGAAACTTTGGGACTATGCCAATACCGCACCGCCATTTGCGCGCACGTGAAAAACCGTCTTTGCGTACGACAGGCCCCGCCCACTAACTTCAAGTACTAAAGTTGCACCAAATGGCCCAATTGCTTCGATTGGGCCCAAATTTTTATAGCACCTTGCGATCACCTATGTCCATCTACTGTAAAATCGCCTATGTCCATCTAGCTTCATTATAAAAATTTAAGAGTGGCTTGAGTTTTCGGTGCGCAAAAGACGCAATAAAAGACGTCTTTTGCGCACAAAGCGAACAATGGCTTCCCAACTTTTTAAAAATGAAGCTATGAAGCTGAAATTTTTGCAGTAGATGGACATAGGCGATCATAAGGTGCTGTAATCCGGGTCCAATCGAAGCAATTGGGGTCATTTGGTGCAACTTTTTAGCGCCTGAGTTAGTGGGCGGGGCGTGTTATGCGCAAAAGACGTTTTTCCACGTGCGCGCAAATGGCGGTGCGGTATTTTGATGGTCCCGAAAATTCCTTCTTTTTATAGCCAATTTACAAAATTTACATTGGATGCAACTTTTTCAATAGTTATTATAATTTTTCCCAGGAAAATCGATGTTTTTGTCTCGAGTTCTTACTTTTCAAGTTCAGGGAATACTTTTATTTCGATAAGTTACGCAAAAAAAATTTCTACATCAGGTTTCTTGTTGTTTTTCTCAGCAAACGGTGTGCTCTCGATTGTGAATGTGCTCGCGAATTCCCGACAAATTGTGTACTCGAGTGATCATCGCCTGGAAATGGGTTTTTAAAAAAAAAAGTCTATTTCTTCGACACGAATAATGAATTACAACAGAAGGGAGGAAATTTTTACCCTTAGCTACCTCTTTACTATTTGATTTGGATTTTTCATAAAAAAAATGATGGAAAATTGTCATTTAAACTTAGTTTATGGTCAAAACGATTTAATTTCAAAGTTATCAATTCAGAAAGTTCCTTTTCAAGTTTTCACTTCTAAATTTGTGACCTTAATGTGTGGATAAGCGTCCAGCGAGCTTTCCTCTCCGTAATCGAGAAGACGACCGAAAGATTCCGCGGCGAACACATCGACCCAGGTTTCCTGAAAAGTGAAAGTACCGTATTTTTGAAAAATTTCTTATCCTTATCTTTTTCATCTAACTTTTGGTTAACTATAATATCCTATAGAGTGTACTTTGAGCTATCCAAAAAGCCAGACACATCCCTTCTGGCGCACCCGACGCGTCACTTTCCTCACCACTCCCACTTGCTGCGATGAATCGAGTACGTCAGAAAGGGTGGATTACATTTACATTTACAATTCAGAGCACAAAGTTCACGTAATTATCAATATCCAACCTTATCCCCTAAAAACAGTCCATTGTTCCCATTCTCCATCAACATTTTCTCGATCAATGGCGCGTACTTCCCGATTCCTGGACGCACTTTTAGACGGAAATAGTCCTCCTGAAATGAGCTTGAGTGTTGATCTTGTGATTTGAGGAAGAGCGTCTCTCCCCTGAAGGGGCACAGGACTGTGGATTGGACATGGGCGCTAGAAACTACAAGACCGAACTATAAACGCTTGTAGAAACGAGTAGAATAGCTATTTTTACAAACTGTTTCTACTAAATTGAGCCAACTTTGGGCTTTTGAATGACACCAAGATCAGACCAATTCACCATCCAATTCACGATTCACGATCTTCGAGAACGTGCTATTTATAGCAGTTTGTCGTCCATTGGATAGGAAAAAACGAAAAGAAAACGTTATTTTTCAGCGCAGTGATGGCGAATTGGTCTGATCTTGATGCCAGTCGAAAGCCCAAAGTTGACTTTTGATTTTTTGGTGAAAACAGTTTTTAAAAATAGCCATTCTACGCGTTTCTACAAGTGTTTGTAGTCTGATCTTGTAGTTTGTAGTGCTCATGTCTACTATGGACTGAATCCTAGCTACACACATTATATATGTTACGGCAGAATTCGACCACACGACAGAATCGGATTTTGCCGTCAGAATCCGATCACAAATTATCTTGTGATCGAATTCTGATGACAGAATTCGATCGCATTCATGATAAATACTAATTAGCTAGATCTTAGCCAAGTTAAATGCTAATTAAGTAAATTTTAGTTTTTAATTTAAGTTGCAAATTAAAAAGGAAATGTACAATTGCAAAACAAAGCTGAAAAACAAAGAATTTTGTGTCAAATCTGCTTTCTGGTTACTATTTACTTTACTTTCCTTTACTTTACTTTAGTTTCCTATATTTACTATTTACTATTTACTATTTACTATTTACTTATTACTATTATTATTATTATTTCTTATTACTAAATATTGTTTACTTTCTATTTGGAATATGAAAAAGCATGTTCAAGGTAAAATGCATCAAAAAAAGCAGTAATTAGTGCTATTTTAATCAAAAAGAGAAGACTAAGCACTCAAAATCACCCAACAGATCTTTAATTTGTCTATTGAATAACTATTATTTTATAAAAACATCAAAATTCAGTCGAATGAATGAATTTCTCTTGAATGTGATCGGATTTTGTTATCGGGATCGGATCCTGACGACAGATTCTGATTCTGACGACACACACATCAACGTTAGAGGCTTATTCTCTCCATTGAACCAAGCAATGATCGTCTAATTTTGTCTACTAGTTAACTTATACTTATGAATTCAGAAATTTCAGATAAAAGAGCAAAATGAAAAGGAGATCCTTGAACTTTTGTCCTTGGAGGATAGGTGAGTTGCTAGCCTTGCTGGCCTTGCTGGGAAATCGATTCGATTCACTTGATCGATTCGATTCAATTTTGTGTGATTCAAAAAGAAAACAAAAAGAAATGACCGACTTTGATCATTTAAAAGGGATCAGATCAGAATCAGAATCAGAAAATCCTCACTTTTTGTAGTCAAAAATCGATCGGTCTTTTAGTTTTTAAGAAATCACAAATTTAAGTACCGCAAGAACTTGGGAAAACCCGAATACAAAACAGTATTACTGCGAGAATTCTGTAGAATAAGCTTGTAGAAGTACAAGCAATTGTTTCAATATCAAATGAAGAGATTTGTGTAGATTGTACCTTATCCTGATGATCAACTCCCATCAACACATAGGCCCAATGCCCAACTCCTGGATCGTTGTTGAACTCTTGAATCACTTCGGCGATCATGTCAAGTCTCCCGTTCTCAAGGTGATTCTTTCCGCTCAACCCTGAAACCTCGGTTTTGAGCAGCTGCATTGCACAGGTCGCTTGTGTACTTTGTGGAAACACACACTCTCTGGCACACTTATAGTCAGAGCGCTCACTCAGAGCTCACTCAGAGCTCATTCAGAGCTCACTCAGAGCTCACTCAGAAGTCACTCAGAGCTCACTCAGAGCTCATTCAGAGCTCACTCAGAGCTCATTCAGAGCTCACTCAGAACTCACTCAGAGCTGACTCAGAGCTCATTCAGAGCTCACTCAGAGCTCATTCAGAGCGTCAGAGGTGTTTCATGGAAAGTTCGAAAGTTATTTTATAAGTTTAGCGCCAGAAAGAGTTAGTTTATAATTAAAGCCCAAAATACGTCAAAATTCCTATTTTCTCACCAAGCTCATTCCCAAGGTAGCGCAAAATGGCGACAGATTGCCCGATTTTATGGTGTCCATCCACTTCCAGAACTGGTACTTGATAGAGGGGCATTTCTAAAAGAATAATGAATGATATTTGACTATGAATATAAATATTATAACTGGATAAGAGATTTGACACTGGTTTTGAATCAGATTGAAAAGAGATTTCGATTTTGAACCGAAACAAATCAAACAAACACTTTGATTCTTACGAATACTGACGGTTTTGATTTGATTCGAAGTCTGTCTACTCTAGCCAGTAGTTATAGTTTTTGAAAATTCTATAAACTTTTCACAAACCATCTTTCAATGGTGGCCAAGTTTCGGCTGTTAGAATCTCGTTGGTGAACGGAGTGCCACTCAAATGGAAAACCTGTCGAATTGCCTCGGCGCGTCCGCGATTCACAAAATAGTACAGCTTGTAAGTGTGCATTCCTGAAAAAGAATTGATATTTGAAAGAATTGATCATGAAATGCAAATACACTCTTTCTAAAGCACTCAATCGTTAACAACTCAATTTTGAACAGAAATTTAAGTGTACTTAAGATAAGAGCTTAAGAGAGTGCTGTAGATTATAAAAATAAACTAAAAGATTTCTTTGAAAACAAGAATCAAAACAATCAGAAAGAAAAATCAGAAAAAGAACAACAAAACAAGAAAAAGATATCAGCCATTAAAGTTAAACTTTGAACAGCCATTCGACTGTTCAAAGTGTCAACTTACATCTCAAGAAAAGCAAGAGTAAGCTATGCTACGGTTTTCGAATTAAATTTACGATATCTGTATAGCTATAAGCAAAAAAAACAAGTAAAGGCTACGTTCAAGTGAGCAAAATATGGCTAACAACATCGAGCAAGCAGCTGATTTCC